TGCAAGCAGCCCTCCCTTCCCCAAATAAGTCTCTAAGCAAAGAGCTCTGTTTTTCAGATGGACACGATTTCTTACCAACTTCTTGCAGGGTCTTCTCAATCAGGCTGGTGAGCTCAGACTTCAATGGGAGGCCACTGACACTTTTACTTCTGTAAAGTTCAGATGTTTCTGTGAGGACTCTATGGACACCAGGTGCTATTTTTGATAGTTGGACCCCCTGCATGTATCTCTTGTGTGATGAGCTTATGTCCTTTTCCATTTTGGGATTTTATGTGGAGGAGAGTCACAAGACCTTAAAAGTTACCAGGCAAGAGCCATGGTTTCCTGATTCTCACTTGATGTACTTACTGAGTGAAAAATCTTGGTGTGTGTGTGGCATTTAGTACTCCTGATGTTAGATATCTTTGTGACATCATAAGCACAATCAGAATGTCATAGTAGTGACATTTAAAGACCCCAACAGGGTTTATTTAATCAATGAAGCAGCTGCGCTCCACACATACTCCACAAATGCAGTGTTCACATTTTCAAAAGAAGTGCCAGGATTTTAAACATCAGCTAAAACCCTGTTGGCAAACCTGGAAAGTCCCATAAGAAGTCCTGTTTCTCTGGTGTGAAGTTTTACAGACAAATGTGCCAGATAAATCCATTTCAAACTTTCCTTTTTGGAATGTGCAGCAATGTGTTCCCTCCTGCCCATTTGGCCTGGAAGGGATCCAGTAGGGGGCCTTTTAAATTCCTTTACGAAAACAGATTTTTCTAGTGCACTGAACATTGCCCCTAGAAATGGGTTGCAATGTTCTTGACTCCAATACAGGTCTGTCGCATCTTACGCGCATTTAACACGCGCGATTTCAACTTTACGCGGTCGGCTAAAACAAGAGAGAAAAACAACAATTTTAATACTATACCTGTAGTGCAGGCGATTTCACCCACCATTGAACTCAATGGGATTTTGGCTATACGTGCTAACCGCGGAACGGAACCCCCGCGTAAGATGAGACAGACCTGTAATCCAAGGAGTTAATAGCCTGGATTGTGAATATTATTACTTTGTTTTTTACTTAAAATTATTTGCATCTTTGAGCAGGAATATTGGACCCGGGAGAGGAAAGAGGACAAGATCACCCACATCCACAGACTGTTCTAGAGTTTATTTTTAATCCCGGGCAATTAGGAATGAAATGTACCCACAGACTTTTCCCATTCATGGTGCTTTTCTGTCTGACAATCAGGTTAGTCAAGTGAGTATCTGGGGCCTATACTAAAATCACTACAAGGAGCAGCCAGAAGCTAGTTGCTAGTGTCACAGAATTTCTGTGAAGGTTTTGGAAGCTTGGTTTTAATGTGCATCTCTCATCATAACCAGTGCTCTTGCATAGTTGTTTTGCAGGGAAAATGCAGCTTTGAAGGTTAATATTAGTTCAACAATTATGTGGTCGTGAGAATCTAGAATAACTTGAGTTTTGTTTCCAGGTGAGTCCAACAAGTATACAGTGAAATATGGAGAGCAGTATTTGAGGCGGGGGACCACAGGAGAAATGCATTTAAAGGACTAGAAAGAACCAACGTCAAAATCACTGGCTGACATTGTCTCATTTGCATTTGGTTAGAACGCATCCATTGTTTGGCCTAACAGAGTGTTCTAGAATTCAAGGACTCTAGACACTGTCCAGTCTAAGAATTTGTGAGTTGGAAAGGGATGTGAGAAAATTCAAACTTGGGAACTGGAACAAAGGTTTAAATTGTATTCTAAGTTAGCTCTAGGAAAGCAAGAGCTGATCCTTAACTAAAATGTAGATTAGAGCTGGATTTCTGTGGGTCAGGATAAAGGCCTCCGGGAGAGTATGTTCTACCTGTACAAAACCTGGTGTCTTTCAATCTAAGGAGATTTTAGAATACCTTAAACATGAAGCTGTATCAACAACTCTTCAATCTTATTTCAAACTGTTTTACAGCTACTGGCTCTCAGGACACTGGTAGCCCTTGCTGGTTTTAATGTTTCAGGACTGGCCGTTTTCCTGGAACATGAGGGCATGGTGGAGGGAAAGAGAAGGACTCAGAGGAGGCTTTGGGTTAGCTTTTGCAGGCAGAATGAGTTGCATCCTGCCCTTCTGCTCCCTGACTAACCCTTCTACTCTGCATCTTTGTACTAGCAGTGTCAGGGTGGACCAGAGGCAGTGCAGGGAGTGCACAGTGGCAGGGACAGCGAGGTGTAGGCATCCTGGCATGGAATAAAGCAACGGCAGCAGGCCAGGAAACTCAACAGAGAACAGGAAACTATTGGGGGTGGGAAGGCCTCTCAGAACAGCATCAAGGGCTACCAGTGTCCAGAGACGGGGTTTGAGTAGAAGGAAGGCAGACCGAGCTGGGAGTTAACTCTGCACTTGTTCCTCAGTGTACAACCATAAAGCCTGTGTTTGTTAGAATTCTAAGGGTTATAGTTCCGGGTTAGAGTTCTGCATTCTTGCTGTAAATGTTTGGTTTGTTAATTCAAGAGGATCTCTGAAGCTATAGCAATTCCACACTGAAATCAGCTTTGGTTATTGTGGTAAAAATTGCTAGCCAACTTCTCCCTCCACCACAATGATCCTCTTTCCTGCTTCAGCAACACAGATTGCGGTGTACCTGTTAAACCACAACTCCACCACACAGCTAGGGAGCGGTTGTTTAAAATTGCTCTTCTGCCAGAAACAGGGCTTGGATCCCCATGACAGCTGCTCAGTTCCGTTGCAGTGAGGAGTGGTTTCTTGATCATTAGCTGGACTTCCAAGCATTATGGCAGATTATCTTCTACAAAAGTGATATTTACCATCTCCTAATGTTCCTACAAAGACCCACCAGTAGAACTGTGGTGAATGCAGCTCAGCACAGAAAATCTTGCAGTTTATGCTTAATTCATAGAAGCCCTTGAGCGGGTGAACTAACTGCCACTTGGAGAAATTGAACATTCGAAAAAACAATTACTTAACAGACTGAGTTGTTACATTTTTTTTTAACATTCACACAGTAATTGGCACAGAATATGTATTATTCACTAAATGCGCTGCTCAGCTCTATACTAGCTGACGTGATAGCTTACAACTGTTATCTAGTCATTTCATTAAATTTGGACTAAACTTAGATTAAAAGGACAGAAATTAAAAGATTTTCAGAAATAAAACACTTCTTTTAATTGGCAAGTAGAACACACATTACAGATTATTAGTATTTTATAAACAGAATATTAAGTTACAAGTACAGGTTAAATTTGCAATTAAATGGCAGCTAACAGCTTGGAGTCCAAAATTCATGTTCTGCAACACTTTTCTATTTCCCATCCCCCACTCTTCCTGGTGACAATGAATACATGACGATCCTCTATTGGGATTCTGCTCTACAGCATGTTCACACAGAACAAAGAAATCCCATTCCTAACATCACCACTAATAAACAGAGACTTTCAAACTAAGTCAGCCATCTTGTGTGCTCCAAATGCAACGAGGACACTGTTGAAGATTTTATTTGATAACACTTTAGGAAAAGATACGATTATCTTCACATTAAAAAGCTGAAAGTTTAATATTTTCTGATCCAATTCAACTGAAAAACAATACCCAGTTCGGCTGCACAGAAGCTTACGACCCATATCTTCCATGACATTGCATGGGCTTCTGTGCAATCTCAGCTAGATGCTTATTGAATCAGACGCTTACGGAGGAGAGTTATGGCATACAACTAACCAGCACACATACATCTATATTTTATATTTAGCAGATTTTTAATTCCCCTCCTCAATGTTTGTTGATATTACTGAGATACCTAGTTCATTCCACTTCCCCTACACTCACAACACATTAATACACCGACTATCTAATGTACTAACGCTTAAATTACTTTTAGCAAACTTTTATTTAGATCTTTTTAAAAAGATTTAAAAAACTTCCCTGGAAAAGTATAAATCTATATTCCAAAAAAACAAGTGGTGCCAGGATAGCATGGATCTCAGATTTTAAGCATTATTCGGTAGCGAACCATCTCCGAAGACTTATGCTTGGGGACTTGGTGTATTTCAGCTGTCAGGCACAGGGCTCTAAGCACTCTCCCTGCTGCAGGGGAAAAGCAGTGCCATTTTTCAAAATCAGAACAAGTTGTTTAGCCTCTCTTTAAAATATCAATTGTTGTTGTAGCCATGTTGGTCCCAGGATATTAGAGAGACAAGGTGGGGGAGGGATTCTCTCTTATTGGACCAACTTCTGTTGGTGAGAGAGCTGAGCTTACACAGAGCGCTTCTTCAGGTGTGGGGGACGTAAGCTTGAAAAACTTGTCTCTCTCACCAACAGAATTTGGTCCAATAAAATTAGGGTTACCATATGTTGTGCCTCCAAATGGAGGACACTCCATGGGGCCCCGGCCCCGCCCCCAGCCCCGCCCACACCCCTGCCCCAACTCCGCCCCCTCCCCAAAGTCTCCGCCCCCTCCCCTGCTTCCCGCGAA